ATATATATATATATATATATATATATATATATATATATATATATATATATATAAATTGCTTATGTGTTTGTACATCTAGACGTAAGGCAGTCCAACGGGCAAGTTCCGATCTCCATACATATCTCACCAACGACTCCTCCAATGTACGAAACGACGATGACTTTCACATCTCTGACTGGTAAAGAACTTCGGACGTATATTATTAATTGCATACAGTTATGAAGATAAGTAATCACCAATGAAGATAAGTAATCACTAATATATAATTATAAAATTAACGTGAAAAATGGTACTATTTGTATCATGATAACATCATTCGAGTGTTTTATAAAGAATATAACTAAATGAAATGGCATTAGACTGATATTTGTAGAATAGGAAAATGTTCTATTCATTTTTCTAGTGTTGCCATTGTTGCTTTTACTAGTGCATTACATCTGAAAATGCTTCCTTACAAAGTTTAAATATTATTTTGTGCGCGTGTATTTTTTGACTCTTAATAGATAAACGAATAAATTAAATCTGGTTTTTTAAAACTATCAAACGGAAAGACTTACGCGAATATATATATTGAAAAAGGAATAATAATTGCAATATGTAAATAAAAATGTGTTGTTGGTTTATATGCTTTGCTTTACATGATTATATATACATGGTTTCATCTTTGAGTTATAGAAAATGTGGTAAATTTGATTTTAATTCAAATAAAAAAACTGACGCAAATAATAACGGTAGTTTTGTAGGACAAGATAAAGCGATATCACTATCCTTTATATGTATCAGCTTGTATATGTTTCATTTGTTCACGAAAGATTTAAGTAGATCGCAAGAAACTAATCGTACTATGCTATTAAAATAAGTGCTTTGATTGGAGCATAGCGTTTCGATTCGAAGTAATTTGACAACTTAAAAGTACCGCAGATAACTCAGACAGCACGATCTTTCAAAGATGGTCGGCAAAATCTTGAGATGGTCTTGGAAAAATCTTAACTTCTATAAATTGGTTTAAGTTCAGAATATCCTAAAGACAATCTGAGGACTTTTAAATATCCGCATAATCTTCAAGATATCTTTGAAGATCTTGTTGTCTGGGAATAATTATATACTAGTAAAAATGGAAGTTTTAATAAATCTTATGAAAATATTTTTATAAACTATTTTAAAACGGTGCGCAATACGTATGAGTAGTTTTAAACTTATATAATGATCTATGTACAATCAGAAGCACAGTATAATGTCTTTCACTTTATACTTTCTATATTCAACCAATTAACCAATTGTCTTTTGATAAAAGTTAAGTATAAAAGATTATACAACAGAAGATACCACTCTTTTTGATTGTATAATTTATATTTGTCATTATTACATAAGTAATTCTTTCATATATATATGCGTATCATAATAATCATAGGAAACCTTAGTATTTCAAGGTAAAAGCAAAGAAGTCGGTTTGTTAAAGATTCTATTTAAAGGAATATAAGAAATCGATATTGCAATGATGATTTTAATACGCCCCACACAGCAGAGGTGTCAAAAATATATCACAGGGTTATCCTAAAAATATATTTGGGATATGTGATATCTTCAAGATATCCTTATGATATATTTGGGACGTTCCTGCTGTGTGGAGCTAGTCTTCAATGTTAGCATTTATAAGTTAATAACGTCAGTTACTGATAGCTTCTATTGTCTTTCTACTAATATTTGTTATTATTACCAATAAACCGTTATAGATAGAAACATTTCAAACGCTTGTGATCAAGAAACGTTACCGTATATCTACAAAAATATAAACATAAACCTGACTAGGATATTTTAAAGTCATAACACAAAGCTCCGCGAGTGTAACAAAAATAAAATTTTATAAGCAACAGTTTGCTCAAGGATAATCGCCTTGAGGAAACTGTACTAACATTACAGAAATTTTTTTTGCTATATATAAGTCAATAGACTTTAAGGTCAATAGAGTCTAAGAAGACTATACCCACAATGCATACTATATCAAATACTAAATAATCTGAAAATCGTGGTAATAATATTCATCAAATGCAAGATGAACGTATATTGCCTCCTAATTCTGTCAGTAATGTTTCTTCAATAGATGAGTATGATAAATTATATACAGATAGTTTGAAAGTAAATTAATTATTTATTGTTCAAACTATTAACATTACATTATATTTTTACCGATCATATATCCAAAATCACACACAAAAATTCAATGCAATCTGGAAGATGTAACAGTCTGAAGCAAAAAAACGACACAGTATCGATAAGAGTAAGCAACATAAACCAGAAGCCAACAGTTCCCACCTTATCCGACAAACAACCAAGTAATCGGAACAAGAGATGGGTAAAAATCAGTTGTTTAGCCAGAAACATTTTAAAATCACGATAGAAAATAATAGAAATAATATTTCGAAGAAAACTTCGAATTGTAAGAGCTGGAACGTGAACGTTTCCTTGATCTGGCATTGGATATACAAGATGAAGAACTTAAGCCATCACGGCTTCTTTCTTCCTCTGCAATTATATTATTAAATTAATTATTTTATTTGTTCTTCTAATCTTTTTATTTTTGTTTTCATCTTTTTTGGCACCCGATTTTCTTTCAATTTTAGTTGCAAAATTTACATTCTGAATGCTTATATTTTTCTTAAAAGATACGTATGCTTTTCGAGATATAGGCTGATTGACCAAATTATTAATTTTCTTTTTTGTACTTTTTCTTCCATTTTTACCTCAGTATAATATTTTTATGTCAATAAGATAAAACAATAAATGATTTTAAGATATCTTAGGTTTAGGTTTATATTTCTGTAGATGACTTTGAGACAAGGGTAAATTGCAAATGAGACACGCACAGCTTCGACAATACGTAAGATCCACGTACATATATTCTTACGTGCAATTCGAACAAATAAACAGTGTCAAGACATCTTCCAATTTTTTGTAATTATTTTTAACTGATCATCTCCACAATATAATCTTCAACCTTATAATGATAGAAACCATAGAAAATAGTAATGGGAAATGAAGGAAAGACGAGTAGTATATGTGGGAGGTATCGAAGATAGCATCGAAGAAACCACAAAAGCAGATCTACGTAAACGTTTTGAAAAGTTTATGTATTATTGCATATACACAAAAAACGAAAATAATTATACACATATACTTACTACGTTCGAATTCATCGCTCCGTGCACTGTAATTGCTTTACCCTTCTATTGCATAACATAACACGCACGCGCACATTCTTTTCTTTACGGGAGCGTTTGAAATGTTTCATATGTTTATATCTATAATAAAAAAAGATAAAATTTACATTGAACATTATTATATGTTCATATTTACGTTGAATAGAAGCTATTATGGACAAATATGAAATATTTTAGTTTAAAGGAAAAATGATACGATCGTGAAATTTGTATCGGAACTATAAGATCAAACTCATCAGAACACGTCATTGCAATACGATCATGCAATTTTTTAGAAGTGTTTTACGATATTACCGTTTCAGCAGTGTATCTTTTGATATCACTAATGTTAATTTCTATTTTTACTAGTATATTGTAGGTACATAAATAATCACATTTCTATTTGTAGACTAATTTATATTATTTACACGTACATATATTTACATTTAATATATATATATATATATATATATATATATATATATATATTTAATTATATTTAAATAAAATTTACAATCATTAGACAATATATATATATATACACAATTGTCAAACCAATTTTTGACGATTCAGTGCCTGCTGTAAGAGATCGTCAAAACTGCTATTGTCCACCGGTGAGTTGGAATTACCGTATGAACTTCCACTACCATCTAGAAAAAAAGAAATAAAAAGATATAATCGCTATATCATAATATAAATTCAAGAATGTTAAAAAATTATTTTTAAAATTTTGTATTTAATTTTATTTATGATATATATACACACACAAATAATTATATATTTAAGGTAATGTATTTATACGATTACGCGAATTTATTATGTAAATAACTGTGCATGCATGTACATGATTAATTGATTATAGAACCCGTTCTTACCAAGATCCGCATAGTTGACTTGACAAAAAGCTCTACGACCCCCGAAAGATAGATGATACTTGAGAGCTTGGCCGTCGTTACCGTGTTCTACGGCTTTGTACGCATCGTCTTTATATTCGAATGTGACAAAGCCGAAATTTATACTGAAACACAAATTATATATTATTGTATATTTCCTGACATGTATATATAATCATATATCGTTCTATATTTTCTGACATGTATGAGAGCAAGAAATATGCAACAACACAATATGAATATAATAGATAATGGAAAACATCCAATAGTCAGCACTTCACCATTTTTCAATATACTTGCGCGTTGTTGGATATTAAAATGTATAAGGATTTAAAAGAAAAAAGTATAAGTATAATAATAAATAATATAATTGATAAATAATTAATAAATGCCCGTATATTTTGATATTTGGTGCGATCCGAGCAAAAGTGCCAAAAACTGATGAGTATTGTGACGAGTGCCTACGGGATGTTTTTCCCTATTTTGAGAAGTCCGCAAAGTAGAGAAAATTACTTACGCTTGTGTACGAAAATGGAGACTAACTTCCACAATACGACCGAACTTTTCAAAACGTTTGCGAAGTTCGGCTTTTGTGGTTCCATCTTCAATGCCTCCCACGTATACGACTCGCCTTTCCTCCACTTGCCGTTGCCATTCCCTACGGGTTCTCTCGTTGTAAGGTCGATGGCTATATTGTGGAGGTGACCTGCTAAAAATAATTACAAAAAATTTGAAGACACTTTGTCTCAACACTTTGTCTATTTATTCAAATGGCATGCAAGAATTTTTGTCATTTTTAGCTTCTAACGTTACAATTCGGTATGGTCGCAGCGAATATCCCGGAGCTTTAAAATAGGCGCAACCAATCTGTGTTAATCATTTTTTACATATTCAGATACAAATATGCTCCTAAGGTTATTTTTAGCAGTCTGTATGTGAGTGCTACGTCGTTATTTTTAGGTCATAATATTTACCTTCTTAAGTCTCGATCTTTGCGGGATTCTCTCCTATATTTTTGATCTCTATCGTACTGTCGTTCACGATCGCTTGACCATCTTCTACTTCTTTTACTTCTTGAGGCAGACGGCGATCTAAAATAAAATTAATTAATAAATTAAGTTTTACAACTTTCTGTTCGCATCTATTTAACTTATTCGTGAACTAACATTTTCTGCATTTTGCATATAGGATAATTCCGATAAACAATCTAAACGACTGTTAAGTCATTTGTAAAACTGAATTATAGCTATTGTTTCTATTATGTGAAAACAGAGATTTTTTTCTCTTGTAAACTAATTATATGTACTTCATAAACCTAGTATATAAACCAAATAAATGTACTTAATAAACCTAGTATTCGAAATATTAGAACAAATTTCGAATATTTCGAAATATTACAAACAGAACTATTACAAATAGAACAAATATTACAAACAAATTTATAGGACCAAAGAGACACATAAAAGGAAAGGAACAATATGTCTCTGTATACACACTCTTATATTTATATGACTTTTTTTGCTATATACCTTGAACGACGTGAATAATATCTTGAAGGAGATTTCGAGTTGTAAGAGCTAGAACGGGAACGCTTCCTTGATCTGGTATTGGACGTACAAGAAGAAGAAGAACTTGAGCTGTCGCGACTTCTTCGCCTATTGTATTTATGGTGGTGACTATGGGAGTTGCTTCTGCTTCTACTTCTGCTGTCACTTCTACTTCTGCTTGAGCTGGTGCTTAAATGCCGGTTTTTGCTTTTATGTTTGCGCTCAATTCTTCTTTTCTTGTGCGTGCTCTTGTTCTTGCTCTTACTTGTTGTCCTTGTCTTGCTTTTGTTCCTACTTTTACTTCTACTTCTACTTTTCCTTTTAGTACTGGATTCCGTTTGAGTCGACCCACTAGTTAAATAATTTCAAAAATATAATTAAGATTCCTGAGTATTCGCATTGTTCATCTTTTTTTAATGACGTCAGAAACGAGGAAAACTAAAAATTCTTGCAAAGTTACATTGGAATTGAAAGATATATCCGCAAAGCGACATTTGCAATCGGTCAAGTAAAGTAATTCTAACACTTTCCTTTTGCTATAACGATCAATTTGCCGTTGATTATCGTGATATACATCTTTTTAACCTGTTTCTTTGCATAATTCAATCACATTTATTTATATAAATTATTGATTGTTAGAGCAAAAGGGAAGTGTTTGAATACTTGATCGATTGCACACGTGTCGCTTTACAGATATATCTTTTTATATCAATGTATTTCGTAAGAATTTTAGTATACATTTCAATTCTGACGTTATTAAAAAAACAGATGGAGAACGTGAGCAATTAAATATAAAAAATAAATAGCTAATAAGAGTTTTATCAGTTACTGAGTGAGTTGATATTTTATTCTGTTTGTAACGGTAACGAATTTAACTATTATTTCTATCGTTACTTTAGTTATCTCTATTCAGTAGGTGACGCGCTAGTCGCGCACTGATAGTATATATTCTTGATTGTATAGAAATATCTCAATATTTGTTAGAAGACAGTATGTGGTTTTACCTTATTCTTCATGTAAAAATGATTGTTAATATAAAGTCGGATTTTGCATTTTAGCTGTTAAGTTTTTAATAAATTTAACAATAGGTATGTTTATAGGTAGCGTAATTCATTTTTGTAAAAAAGTATGGAACAAGTTGGGTATTACGCTAAGTATATTTATTAAATTTATTAAAAATTTTTAACAGCCAAACTACAAAATCTGGCTCTGTACTGACAATACTTCTTGTGTGAAGAATAATAAAAGATAGAATTAAGCTCATAAAAAAAAAAACATTAGTTCTCAAGGTCAGGATTCTTGCAATTTTGAACAGCTTGTTTTTTTTTAGATAAACAGGTTATACTAAAAATAATAATTTAAGTTCAAAAGCAATAATTTCATTTCAAAATTTCTTACTCACTCATTTATAGCTATTGTTCAACTGTTGTTATGCTAAGATAGATTAATAATAGATTGAAGTTTTACCTTTCATTGGCACTTTCTACGACATTATCCCTTTTGTTGGTATTTTCTGCGATACTGGGCTTTTCGCTGGTACTTTCTACAACATTGTCCCTTTCGTTGGTACTTTCTGCGACATTGGCCCTTTCGCTGATACTTTCTGCGATATTGTCCCTTTCGTTTTCCGTCGAGCTTTTGGAAAATTCAAATATAGTTTTGTATGTTTGTGTAAATGCGTTGCAAAATTCTTTCTTTTTCTGTTTTTCTGTTTCTGATATTATGACTGTATCAATTTCTCTCATTGACCAATCTTTTCTATCTTCATTTTTAGAAGAATCTTCTAAAGAAGATGCAGTCATGGTAGATGCATTATAAGTATAAACGACTTTTTTTTGTACTAAAGGTTTTGTGTTTTTCATGAGTAATCGTTGTTTTTCCCGATATTCTGCAAGTCCTATCTTACGGACAGGTTGTTTTATATTTTGCAATGGCATGTTCTCTTGTGTATTTTGTTGGATTATATTTTGAATTTCGCCGCTTGAGCTGTTAGTGATAGTCATTATGCTTTCTTTCATATTATTTGGTAGTGAACATTGTTTGGTACTGTTTGGCAATGGATTCGGTGGCTTTTTTAGTACAGAGACCATCTGTTGCACTTTTGATCCTGTTTGAACTTCTATTTTCTGTCGAGACTTTAAAATATTTCTGGCAAGAGCGGAATTAATGTTTGTCCAACTGTGATTATTCGGTTGTTTATTAGATAAAGAAGAACCTGTTGGTATATTGCCTTCTTTAGTCGTTACTGTGTCTTTGCTTGTGTGTGCTTTAGATATATGATCTATAAAAATATAATGTAACGTTAATAGTTTGAACCATTAAATAATTAATTTACTTTCAAAATGTCTGTATATAATATTTACCATTTTTCACTGAGCTGTTGTCAGTATAAACAATGCAGTAGTCGTGCTCAATGTTTATTGAAGAGACATTTTTGACAGAATTAGGGACAATCTTCTTAGATTCTGGAATCTAAAATTAAATAAAATAAATATAAAGAAAAATCAATGTTAATTTTCTTGTTGTGTAATAGCACTAGATTTATCGAGATAATTACCTTTGTCATTTCTGCAGGTTTTTGTGACGAGTTCGAGTTGACATTGTGTTGATTTGAAGTGTGTTTAAGAGATTTCTTGGGCACGTTATTTTGATAACTCTGTTGCTTAATAGGTCTATTTTGTGTTTTTTTTGTTGATTTAGCACGATGTGAAGGAATGTCTTTAATAGTTGGTTTATTATGCAAGTTTGGTAACGGTGCCAATTTTTCCATTTCTTCAAATTTTTCTAATAGACTTGATAAGTCAACAGCTTCTATAACTTTACCTATAATAGAAAATAAATAATATCTTGATTAGAATATGAAATTTTTAAATAGTCAAATATCATATTTAAATATTTACTCAAATACCTTGTGTTATATTTGATATAGAATCAATATCTACATTCTCTTTTTGTTCCTCTTGTTTAGTTTTTGTAACTACATTTTCTGTTTTCAGTTTTCTCTTTTTTGAACACAAATTGACTTTCTTAGTACTTGCATTTCTCTTAAGAGATTCCAATGCTTTTTGTGATGTTGTGGGCTCATTCATAATTTCAGTTTCTATATTAATTTCTTCTTCAATTTTTATTTCAGTTTTGAGCGAAACATTATTTAATTTCTTACATGCATTTTCTTCTTTAATTTCAACTGCAAGGAAAAAAAACAGTTTTATATAAATGTTAACAGTATTAGAAGCAAAAAAAAAAAGAAAATCATTGATATAAACCTGTTTCTTCTTTTATAATCTGTGATTCTGCAAGTGTAGTTTCTACATCATGTAATTCTTTACATGGTTCTGCGAGTGCAGGTTTTACATCATGCAACTCTTCCTGCGGTTCTGGAAGTATAGTTTCTACACCATGTAATGCGTCAGGAATATATATATTTGCCAATTCCGGAAACATTTCCTAAAATATAAATATTTCTTGTAATTTCTTGTATAAATGTAAAAAATGTATACATTAATATATATATATATATATATATATGTATTTAATATAAATATTTAAATAACTCTTATGTTTTTATAATTTAGAAATTGACATCTTTATTTTGCACAATATTAAATAATGCAATTCTTTGTTGAATTATCTTAATATCGAGGACAACTTAATAAAAAAGATGGGATTCAAACCTGTACCATCAGATGGGTCTCAAACCAGTTATCTTCTTCTTGCTTAATAGGTATTGTCGATTCTGTAGATTGTGAAGATTCTAACTGTTGTGAGATAAGTGTCTTCCTATTTAAAGTAATTAAATATAATTAATACATTTGTGTTATATATCAATAAATAGTGTTACACAGCAAAAATAATATACTCACTTGTGTTCATCTGGCCAAAAATTTCTACTATATTCTAGCATATAATATTCATTAATAAGCATATCGACTTCATATGCTTCTGGTATCATATTCTGCAAATAAACAGTTCACAATGTAAACATCTATTTTCTTTAATATTTTCTATATATATATATATACATATATACATAAATCTTAAGTATATATATGATATATAGATTAAAATATAAATATATATATTTTTTACAGAACTCTTTAAAATATATTTTTTCAGATTACTTTTTTGAGTTTATATGTATATTTTTTATAATATTTATTTTATAAGATAATTCTTTTTCTCCATATATTCTATATATATAGTTATTACTTCTAATATATTTAAATTGAAATTAACTGTTTTTTAAATCCTAAAACCTTAAATCCTAGATATTTAAATCAGAAGAATAAGTATCTTTTCTTGAAACTAAGATATGTAAATATTAATCTGAATGCATTAAATATATATGTACAGAAAACTGACAGAAAATTAAAATTGCTTAATGAAATTGATAATATAATAAAGCAAAATTTAGGAAATAATTTTAATTTTGTATTGCATAATATTGAAAATAGTTGAAATATTTATAAATTGTGTGCACTTGCGCATATCTATCTATATCTTAAGGTATAAACTTGATTTTCCAAATATTTTCATTGAATATGATTCTATACAATATCTTATTTGTTGTGAGTTACGAATTGCTCCAAATAAAAACTGTTAATATTAACTTATTAAAATAATTTTTGAAAATTAATTTTTTAGGATGTTTTAAGAAAGACATTAATTGCAATAGACTGTACATTCTCAATAATGTGTTTAGAGACAAAATGTTCTCAACAAAGAACATGAGTACGTATCCAATTGTTTAACTTGCTTAATACAGTATATTACAATATTATCTTATGTTATATAAAAAAAAAATTTATATATATTTAAGAAGAAGGAATGATTTGTCCTGTAACTATTAAACATTACCTTTTCACTTGGCGATGGGTTATATGTATTTGTACAGAATTCAGGAATGCTTGGCTCGTCGAGATAACGTTGCTCAGTCTCCATTAGAAGATTCTCAGAGTCAGAATCAGTCGAGGGTTTACGTGAAGATATGTCAAGCGTGCTGTAATAAAATTACTATAGTGAGAAAAACGTTGATTAACAATGTTCACGAGCGATCGACCTAATCCGGGAAGGGATCACAATTTTCACGGGGTTGCGCGTTCTTGTTTTAGGTTATGTTCGAAGCGGCGAGAGAGCGTGGTGCGGGAACGCACGTGTACGGCCTGAAGTCTGACACTCGTTCGGTGTTGACGTAGACGCTACGATCGAAAGCGCGCTTTGTCTCTGAGCACACACGTGCGGTAGAACGATCGAGGAAATACGCGTGTATCTCGCAACGCATAAATGTACACGCACGTTGCGGTATTGGCGCGTGTTCGTCAATTGGATGCACAGACAATAGTCTCGCGCGGCTTTGTCGAGACCGGACCAGCTGCTGAACGAAAGCGGCAACCGGCTCGCGATATACCGTTACTCGCCGTGGAATCGTCGATCTGTCGCGATAATGAACTGTTATGCGTACAACTACACCTTACCGTAACCGAAAGCTCGCTACATTTGTTAAAAACAATATTTCCAGACACGCGATCCACGGCTCGTGGTCTCACAGGTTCTCTCGCGATGCGGACACATGGAAGAGAGCGCTGCGTGTGCGTGGGAATGTGCGCGCGTGTGTATGCGTGCGGGTGTGCGCGCGCGCACTTTCGCATGATGTGTAGCCTGATGACGAGGCGAGAGAAAGGCAGAGAGATAGAGAAAGAGAGAGTGAGAAAAGGAGCGGAGGAGGGAGGGGGGAGAGGGAAAAAAATGAGAGAGAAAAAGGAAGCCGATACATTCTAGAGCTTATTCATGTCGAATCAGACATCACTCCTGTGAAAATTTAGTGGCGGTATTTCAAAAATATGACATAATAGCGCGCTCAACAAAGATCGATATTCCTTCGTCTCGAGTGTCAAAAAAGATATTAATTGCATATGTTATTAAGTGTGCGTTGGTGCGATGCCATACGCGCTCTAGGTGCTACAAACACACATGTAAGCAAGTCGCTAAAAGCGAGAACAGCGGATCGACCCTTGGCTGTCCACATATTTAGCACGGAGATCACGGTATAAATAACGTCATGCCGCTGTGTTCACGTAATTCAACGCGCGGAGAGCGTCGATATTCGCGATCACGATCGCCTGAATACAGACGCAGGACACGCGCGGCGATATGTTGCATGGGAGTTTTCGATTAATATAGTGTTAGAAATTGCACGTATAATCGACGTGTTTTCTGAGAGTCGTCCCGTTACCGGCATTGAGTCATTCGTATCGCGCGTATCGTATTCGAACTCGCGATTGGCTCGTGTGTATTTGACTGCCCGCCGCATAAAATGTGTAAATTGTGCACATGTTCCAGCGCACCACGCTTGCGCGCAGTGTTCCCTAGGTAGAAGGCAATACGTCATTGACGCCACGTGACCAATCCGACAGCCGCGAAAACGCGGTTCGTTTGATGCCGCAAATGTTAGCATATGCTTCGACGCGTTCAGAATGTAGACCGCATTGTTAATGTGAAATGTATCGCAATTTTATACGCGCGGTTTATATCACCGCGCGTGCTTATTCTCGATCAGTAAGACGAATTTTATTTTTGACTGCACTGACTCAATAAAATGTCGAAAAATAATCGACGCAATTCCTTTTTATAGCATTGAACGATGACTAACTTTTCAGAATTTATTTTATATCTGATAAGTAACATCTAATAAATCGAAATCGTATGATGCCGTGAAATTTTAAATATTCTAAACATCCGGTTATTTCTCATTATTACTTGTACAATCAGAAAATTCTAAGTTGCAATACCTCTTCTTGATCAATTTTGCAACGCTTTCAATAGAAAAATTTCTTTTTAATAACATTTAGAAAATATATTTCTCTAGTGGATATGGAATATGTCGCGAAATTCATCGAGGTAGTGTTGCAAACTTTAATTATCTGACTGTACTTTCTCTATTCACATAGCACAAAAATATTACACCAACATTAAACTTAAAAAGCTTTTAATTATGTTAATTATGTACTTAAGATGATAGCGATATTATCATGACTTTAAAATGTTGTTTTCCGACTTGACTTTTAATAAACCCTAAACACGAATATTAATGCAAGGTTTTTTTGGTTAATCCAAAATTATCTTGTGGTTAAATTAATATAATTTTAATATTTATCAAAATATATCCAAAATATTTCAGAATTATTTTAGAGTCATGGAAACGTCTGAAGACTGTCCCAGGACGTCTTAAGTATATCCAAAATCTCCTCAGGACATCTTGTGGTCTCTATCTGTGTAACTACTTTACCATCTTAAGCTAAATATTAATATGCTGCTTCTAATAGAGATAATTACTACGACATTATATCCTTATTTTAAACAATTTAATTTACTAGGTATTCAATATTTTAGTAATAATAACATTGACTTTGGTGCTATATGGATAGTAATTTATACAACACAGAACTTTTTAATCCTCAAACAACACACGGATGTCTATGTATAGAATATATTAAGATGTATAGAATATATAGAATATATTGAGGATATTTTTTTTTGTTTCTCGTACTTTCTTTAATATGTTCTAAGAGTTAGCAAATGAGTGCTTCTGAGATTATATAGAAAATTATCTTCAGAATATTCTATTTCAAAGTTCTAAGAATATAGGATGCTCATAGAACGCTTCTAAGTTTTAGAACAGCTGTAATACATTCATAATTCCCTTATAGAAATATCATCCTAAGAATCATTGATAATTACGTATTATCCAGTATTTTTAATACTGAAAATAAGTAATTATCAATGATTCTTAGTATGATATTTCTATAAGGGTTAGCCTAAGATATTGTTAAGATACTGTATATGCTATTTCAAAGAATAATTAAAAATAAAAGCATCAATACTTGGATATTAATAAAACTGATATAACTCTTATTGCTTTGGTTTTCAAATACGAATATTCAAATTTTCAACAGAGAATATATATATATATATATATATATATATATATATATATATATATATATA